GTTTTTCAGTTAATTTGAAGCAACTACTTATTGCTAAGTCATTTGTTTGAATCAGTTGTTCAAATGGTTGTCTATTGATAATGTTCCCGTTTACTTCAAAACCATGATCCAAAAGCCAATATCTAATTAATTTTAGAAGATGTGGGGCGTCAGGAAAAAAAAATATATATTAGTCCCAATAATTTGGTGTTTTACATAGGTATGTTCACATGTCACACCAAGGTCTCTCCATAATCCTACATTACTCCCACCACAATCACTAACACAAGCTTTCACACCGTATAGCCAACTTCATATAACTTGTTAATAATTGTATGTAGTAATGTTGGCGTTATTTTTACATCAAATCCTACATAAACATAACATAAATAACATTGACAACGCGATCGTGTTTCATGTCGTATTCGTGCCTTTCGTTTACTTTTACTTCATCGTACAGTAAAACAGCAATTTTGTCTGTTGGGTTCATTGTGTCAGCTGCAATCTCCAAAAATTTAAATACTGATGTCAGAAGTCCGGGTTTAAAGTCCAGCTTTGATGCCCAATTTTGAAGAGTTGAAAGTAATGCAAGTAATGAATTTAAGATATACAAATTAAAAAAAATTAACTTTAACATGTATGTATCAAACAAAAAAAAATTTATTTCCCTGGTAGGGGATGATGCAATTTGTCTCTCAAATAGCTGTAGCAATGTTTGCTAAAATTTCTTATTGTGAAAGCTCTTGTAATGTCTTCTTCTTGCCAGTGAACAACCTTTTTATTTTTTAATATTATTTCCAGTTGTTTTGAGCTAAAAATGTTTTTAAATTGCTCTCATTTCTTCTTCTCATCTTGCTCGCTTTTCAATAAGGAAATGGATTGTTTTAGTTGACGATATTTGTCAATTGTCGGCTGTTGTTCCATAATTGTTTTCTTCAGTCTAAGATTTTCTACATTCAACAATAGAATTTGCTCATCTTTGTCTTCTACATTGATAACAACTGTATTGCTGGAAATATTTACTTCTTCATGTAAATCCGGTAGAGTTAATTTAATCATACTTTTCCGCACTTTTTTTATTGTTAACATCTTTGTTAGGTATTTTCTTATTGATAAAAAAAATTAATGATTGAAAATTTATGATATTATATTAAAAAATTTAAAGATTATTTTTTATTGAACACCTGTATCTCATAAACCAGTAATATTAATTATTAATAATAATTACTTTGAAATCCGTTATTAATTCTCACAGTTACAGAAAAAATAACAAAGAAACGCAGATTTAAAATTGAAATTTCCAATAACACACTGAAATGAATTCATTTCAACTCTTGCCAACTTTTACTAAACAAATGCACGGAGCATCACATGGTCATGAGGTTGCGTGCGCAATCCGTGATCGCTTACGTCACGAAACACTCCTGCTCTTGCCCCTCGCACACAAACTAAAATCAAAGTATTGCAGCATAGGAACTTAGACAACCTTTAATATACAGGGTGTCACACAAAAAACGCCCCAAGCTGTAACTCTGTCATTTACATTCCGATTTTCATGAGCGGGGTATCAAATGAAATGGTTTCATGAATACATACTATGATTCATGCTACAAATAAATTTTTTCCAAGGCCATCTTCAATTTTAAGCGATTATTAACTTTTGCTTTNCTTTTCAATACACTTCATATTTTTTATTGTGCAATACATTTTGTCCAATATTTTATTTTGTTCTGCTAATGTAAGCCCATATGCAGATTTAGTTGGCACCTTGTTATATGGTGTACGGGAATTCATAATATCAAACCAACCATTTACTATTTCAACAAAATCTGCTTCATTTGTGTTTGAACAATACCTTCTTAACGCCACCGCAGTGGTATGTGATAGCAGTTGAGCTGCTAATGTAACATTTTGCCTTTCGTACCTTTGATACTGCACGTGTTTTTCAGTTAATTTGAAGCAACTACTTATTGCTAAGTCATTTGTTTGAATCAGTTGTTCAAATGGTTGTCTATTGATAATGTTCCCGTTTACTTCAAAACCATGATCCAAAAGCCAATATCTAATTAATTTTAGAAGATGTGGGGCGTCAGGAAAAAAAAATATATATTAGTCCCAATAATTTGGTGTTTTACATAGGTATGTTCACATGTCACACCAAGGTCTCTCCATAATCCTACATTACTCCCACCACAATCACTAACACAAGCTTTCACACCGTATAGCCAACTTCATATAACTTGTTAATAATTGTATGTAGTAATGTTGGCGTTATTTTTACATCAAATCCTACATAAACATAACATAAATAACATTGACAACGCGATCGTGTTTCATGTCGTATTCGTGCCTTTCGTTTACTTTTACTTCATCGTACAGTAAAACAGCAATTTTGTCTGTTGGGTTCATTGTGTCAGCTGCAATCTCCAAAAATTTAAATACTGATGTCAGAAGTCCGGGTTTAAAGTCCAGCTTTGATGCCCAATTTTGAAGAGTTGAAAGTAATGCAAGTAATGAATTTAAGATATACAAATTAAAAAAAATTAACTTTAACATGTATGTATCAAACAAAAAAAAATTTATTTCCCTGGTAGGGGATGATGCAATTTGTCTCTCAAATAGCTGTAGCAATGTTTGCTAAAATTTCTTATTGTGAAAGCTCTTGTAATGTCTTCTTCTTGCCAGTGAACAACCTTTTTATTTTTTAATATTATTTCCAGTTGTTTTGAGCTAAAAATGTTTTTAAATTGCTCTCATTTCTTCTTCTCATCTTGCTCGCTTTTCAATAAGGAAATGGATTGTTTTAGTTGACGATATTTGTCAATTGTCGGCTGTTGTTCCATAATTGTTTTCTTCAGTCTAAGATTTTCTACATTCAACAATAGAATTTGCTCATCTTTGTCTTCTACATTGATAACAACTGTATTGCTGGAAATATTTACTTCTTCATGTAAATCCGGTAGAGTTAATTTAATCATACTTTTCCGCACTTTTTTTATTGTTAACATCTTTGTTAGGTATTTTCTTATTGATAAAAAAAATTAATGATTGAAAATTTATGATATTATATTAAAAAATTTAAAGATTATTTTTTATTGAACACCTGTATCTCATAAACCAGTAATATTAATTATTAATAATAATTACTTTGAAATCCGTTATTAATTCTCACAGTTACAGAAAAAATAACAAAGAAACGCAGATTTAAAATTGAAATTTCCAATAACACACTGAAATGAATTCATTTCAACTCTTGCCAACTTTTACTAAACAAATGCACGGAGCATCACATGGTCATGAGGTTGCGTGCGCAATCCGTGATCGCTTACGTCACGAAACACTCCTGCTCTTGCCCCTCGCACACAAACTAAAATCAAAGTATTGCAGCATAGGAACTTAGACAACCTTTAATATACAGGGTGTCACACAAAAAACGCCCCAAGCTGTAACTCTGTCATTTACATTCCGATTTTCATGAGCGGGGTATCAAATGAAATGGTTTCATGAATACATACTATGATTCATGCTACAAATAAATTTTTTCCAAGGCCATCTTCAATTTTAAGCGATTATTAACTTTTGCTTTACAAATTGCTCTATATATTTTTCTTTACGTCATTGGATAGAGACTGTTTTTCTGAATCCACTGATGTACAATACATCCATTTTGAATATAATTTTAGTAGAGAAAAGACACCTGTATATAGAGGTTGCCACACAAGAACGCCGCAAGCTGTAACTCTGTCATTTACCTTACAATTTTCATGACCCAGCTATCAAATGAAATGGTTTGATGAATACTATGATTCATGCTACAAATAAACTTTTTCCAACGCCATCTTCAATTTCAAGCGTAGCAAGTGTAGCATGAATCATAGTATTCAGGAAACCTTTTCATTTGATACCTCGCTCATGAAAATCGGAATGTAAATGACAGAATTACTGCTTGCGGCATTCTTGTGTGACAACCTGTATCTACAGGTGTCTTTTCTCTGCATAACTTACATTCAAAATGGATGTATTGTACATCAATGGATTCAGAAGAACAATCTCTATCCAATGACGTGAAGAAAAATATACGCAGCAATTTGAAAAACAAAAGTTGATAATCGCTTAAAATTGAAGATGGCGTTGGAAAAAATTATTTGTAGCATGAATCATAGTATTTATAAAACCATTTCATTTGATACCTAGGCCATGAAAATCGGAATGTAAATAACAGAGTTACAGCTTGGGGCGTTTTTTGTGTGACACCTGTATAAACCTTGAGCATGGTTCACAAGGAATACATGATTAAAAAATTACTATTAAATTGCGAACATTTCTGACCGAAATACCTAATGATATGATGTACCGATACGATTTTTAACATTTTCACAAATATGTCTATTACCACTTAACTAAGAGACATAGAATTTTTTTCTTATTTTTACCAGAACATGTATGAGTTGGCCTCTCACCCGGTGCCCGCTTGACATTGAGTTTCGGGACAGCCTGTACATAGAATTCAAGTCGGGTTATTCCTCAAGATGCTTTATTCCAAGTTCATAGATAAACTCAGAATATTCCCAGAGTTATCTACAGTGTGTTAATTATCGTACCCGACGTCATCACAGTATTGGTATTGCAATAGTAATACTGTGATATTGGTTGCATACTTGCAATGATGACGTCGGTTACGATAGTTGCAATACCAATACTGTAATATTGGTTGCATACTTGCAATGATGACATCGGGTACTATAATTAATTATGTATATGATGTACAAATCAAGGACTGTAGTTCTAGTTTTAATTGTAATTTAACTGTAATTAATAAATTTAAAAAATTCTTTCATTTATCTTTTTAAGATATCACTTTACCAGATCATATCGATTGTGAATGTTACACGACTGTATTTCAATCAAGACCAAGAATTCATCGAACCCCTTAAAAATAATATATGATGTGTGTAAGTAAATAAAGGTTTGTGTTTATTAATGAGTTTTTAATGAAATCACCATGTTTTTTTGTTATTTAATGAAATTTACATGTTTTTTTTTATTCTTAAAAACTTAGAAGGAAGATCTTAAAACAGAAATTAATAGGTTGTTTTGACACAGCCGTGTTCACAAAAAATAGGTCAATAAGTCACTATAATACATTTTTTTAAAGAAGATCAAACAACTTAATAGAAAATACTTATAATCCTAAATTAATTAATAATTAAACAAGAGGATAACTGGATTGGGTAGCAATTCCACAATGATTGTTCCTATTTCTAGCCATTTTAACATAACCTTTATCACCCCAAGTTGTACCCCATGAATTTTTAACAATATAATATTCTTCTCCTTCATCCGTTTTTCCATATCCAACTGCTAATACCCCATGATCCAACTCTTGAGAGCTACATTGTGGTTCATAATAAACACCTTCAGAATAAAATTGGAATGATTCATGTCCTGCATCAATAGCAACGGAAATTGGTCCAACTGTAGCAATAGCAGCAACTAAATCTTCTTCATTACCAGAAGAAATATCTGAAAATCCTTTATCGGTAGCTCCAGAATTTCTAGGGTTATATCTACATTTATCATCTTCAGCTTCATAAGGATAAGTATTTTCAGTATCAATTCCATGATTATCTCGAACATAACGGAAAGCATTATCCATCAAACCTCCATTACAACCATTATTTCCATACTTTCCTGAACAATCAACCAAGTTTTGTTCACTTAAAGATACCAATTTTCCTGTTTTTCGGAAATGTTGTCCTTCTAAAGCTCCTGTTGAACTGAAAGCCCAACATGAACCACAATGACCTTGATCTTTCACTTCCGTTACAGCTCCCAAAGTTCTCCAATCAACACTTTCTGGAACCACAACATTGGCAGGTTTAATAAAAGTTGATCCATCATCTAAATCTTCTTGATATGCAGCACTTTTGTAGCCGGTGGTACGATTAAAACCATTCAAAGTATGGATGAATTCGTGATGGAGGAGATCAGCATACTTATTTATCTTCATTTTGAAGGTTACATGTCCTTGCTCATAAAGTTGATTGTGTTTTGCTACTTTGTGAGAATTTTCCATAAATATTTTCATTCTGTATTTTTCTTCAGTAGGGTCTTCATATGATTTTGAATGATGTAACTAAAAAAAATTTTAATTTCATTTATAACCTCAAAATTTAAATCAAATGTCACTTTTGACATTCTAATGTCACTTTGACATTTTAACAAAAATTGTAGTGTAAATAAAATAAAATGTGGTTAAAACCTGATTTCAACTTCCAAGAATTAATTATTTAATGATTCACAGAATGATGTAATCTTAAATTTAATAATCATCATCAACTACATCAAAAGATTAAATTTAATAACAAAGAAAATAATCAATATTAATCATAATAAATAAAATTGAGTGGTTTATTGTGCTTATCTTGGCTTAGTCATCATAAATTATGCAAAATATAACAAAGAAAAACACGATAACAAAATGAACCAAAAAAGAATCCTCCATTTTAGGTTCTTTTGTGTTTTTTTTTTTAGATGACCAAATTATAGAGTATTTTTGTTAGATTTACCTTAAATGCTTTCCATTGTTCTTGGACGAGGTCGAAAAATGACACAGCTTGTGTCGTAACTAAAACGGCAGCGAAAATTAGTAAAAACTTCATTTTTCTTATTAACCTATAAAAAAAAATAAACGTCAAAGAAAATCAAACGTCATTTTGACATTAAATAAAACGCATATTCTATTGTTTACCCCAACTGATTAAATTAGAAATAGTACATAGACTTACTTATTTTAGACGATACTTTTTACTTCGAAACGTTTACAACAACACTGAATAATGTGGGAAGTAGGAAGTGGTATTTATTACATCAGGAGGCCAAACATCACATGACTTTTAGGTTTGTGGTGGGGGCCACAACAATACCGAGAATCGACCCGAATGAAAAGAACTTCTCTCGTCTTATTCGGATTAAAGTTCAGTTTAAAGTTTTATTTGACTGCGAAACCAGATAAATTTTATCACTTTTTGTTTACCTACGATTTTTCTTTAAAAATTTAAATATAGATTTCTTTTTTATCGGCGCTGTCAAAAAAATTAAGTTCTAATCAAACATTATTTATTAATTTTCTTATCAAAATTATTCATTAATCTAATTTACATTAATTAATTTGATAAATATCGTTAATAATTTCATTAATTTCGCTTTTCATTGATTTATTTAAAATGTGACATTCGTTTCGGAACCACATTCACATCAGTCGCGAAAAAAATGGCTGAACAACATTATAACGTTACGGCGGAACAGCGAAAAATTTTAGAAGAAAAAGCTAAAAGAAGATTAGTCCTCCGTAATGAGTTCCTTAAACAATCCGCCAACCCGTATAGGCATGCATTGAACGAAGGGGGCACCGTCGTGAGTACATTTTTACGTTTTTTTTGGGATGACATAACCTGGTTTTTAACATACCTGTCAATGACACTGATAGATGGCGGTGTAATTTATTTATTTTTTTTTTGTATAAATTATATTTTTTTATTATTAAAACCGTTAAATCTGATGCAATAACGAACTTGAATCGTTTATAATTAATACATACGCACACTGACACGCGTTCTTATTAAAACCACGTTTGATATCGAGAATAACAACAACAACTTCTTGTCAAAGTTGCGTAATTGGAGTCGCACGCGACCCAGTTTAATTATTTCTGTTTATTTTGCAATTTTAAATCGTACTTTACACTCTCCTGATCGTTTAGAATTGTTAAAGATTGTAAAAAATTTTGACATTTAATTTGACATTAATTTTGAAGTTTTATATTTTGACAGATAACATAACCTCTAAAAAAAATTTTTAAATTTAAGTTATGTTGGAAATTATACTTTTAATGTTTTTAAATCACCTACATTCTTTTGAAATCAAAACAAATTTACACCAGAAGCATTATCTCTTCAAATAATGATAACAAATTTGGATTAGGTTGAATTTAGTACGTATTTAGTTCCTTGTTTACTTTATTTTAATCTTAAAAACACAATTTTTTGTTTTTAATTTTAAACTAATGGATAATACGCAGCTGTAGCTATTCCACAATGATTATCGTTATCTCGAGCCATTTTAATGTAACCACCTAGGCCCCATTCGGTGCCATAAGAATTTTTAACCAGCCAATATTTTGTTCCATCCGGCTCCGAACCGTAACCAACCACTAAAACGGCGTGATTTAAACTATCAGCATCATTTTTACACTCTTCGTCGTAATAAATTCCGTTTGAATAAAATTGAAACGTTGATTGACTGGCATCGATTGCTACTGAAACGGGTCCTTGCGTTGCAACAGCTGTCGCTAACGCTCTTTCATCGCCTGGTGGAATCTCAACATAGCCTAGAATCAAAATTGTAGTCATAAAAATTTATTTAATTTATTTCTGACCTGTTACGTTTGCCCCGATGAAATTTGGATCAAATCTGCACGATCCTTCCTCTCCTTCGTAGGGATAAGCGCTTAATACGTCAATTCCAGGATTATCTTTGATGTAATTAAAGCTTTCGTCGACATAGCCACCGGAACAACCCAAATTTGAATATTCTCGGGTGCAATCTATCAAATTTTGGGGGCTCAACTCCTCCAAATAACCAGCTTTTCGGAAGTGATGGCCTTCCAAGGCTCCTGTCTAAATAATAACTTTGTAGTTGTTGTAATTAAGAAATAAATTGTTAAGCTAAAAGAAACAAATCAATTCCTTAAATCGCTGAAATGTTGGTATTGTTACATCACAATAAATTGATGAACCATATAATATGCGTTCGAAGAATCTATAGAATTAAAAGACTATGTAATAATGATGAGTAAAACGACATTTAAGTAGGTTTTTGTAATAACTCCGTGTGAGACATGTGATTTCTCACAGCAAATAAGTGATTTAACGTGCTGATATTATTGCAGCTTTGTTACTATTTTTGTTATTATTTAAGGCGAAGATGAAAGTGGATGCTTTCGTAGTGATAGTTCCTTGCGTTTCAATTGTAAAAGTATAATGGCAAATTACAAAATAAGTAATTTATACAAAACATTATGTAACATCTCATTCGTAATTTTATTCTTAGTATCCTCTGAATTTCAAATTTGAAAATAAATAAATAATACCTTTTAACTTCATGTTGTAAAGAGAAGATCTCTTAGATCTTGTAATTTTTAATTACATATTGGTAAACTTGAAACTATTGTGACAGAATGCATAATTCGCCTTTCTGCACTTAGAGAATGTGTTTGATTAGACGCTTAGAGAGAGAATGTGGGAATGTGCGAAAGGGATTGAAGATAAAATGATAAAACGAAATGCACAATCGAAAAATTTCATAATCAAAGAAGCATTGAGATCAGGAGGAGTTAAGAGTCTGCAAGTAGAGATGGATCAACTCGATTTATTCCATTTAGTCCATTCGAGTTAGACTGTTACTAACTCATGTTGGGTTACAAACTCGCTTAACCGTACCGCCAAACATTTTTCAGAAATCTGGAGATGATTCAAATGATAGTTTAGGATTATCAACCTTTACAAATTGTCGAAAATAAAGGTTTCCGCCAATACACCAAAATATTAAATACCGGTTATGAACTGCCTTCGAGAAAAAAGTTGACTCAGATGTTGGAAGAAAAGTATAACATGGAGTCTACAACCCATAAGGAAGAATTGCAGGTCGTTGAACATATTGCTTTGACATCAGATATTTGGACGTCAGACAGTAATAAAAGTTTAATTAGTGTGACCGAACATTTTATAGAAGAAACAAAATTGCAATCATACAGCTGAAAACATAGCAAATGTTATTCAATAAATATTGGAAGAGTGGCAGATAAGTTCTTATATAGTGACTATAGGTACAAACAATGCAGCTTCAATGAAAAAAGCAGTTAGCGAAATTGAAAATAAGCAATACCATCTTAATCTTGCCGTGAAAGACTGTACAGAAAAAGTTAAAATTAATTTAGGAGATACCACCGCTAATAATAATCAGTTATTGCAAGTAATAAATAAATGCCGAGCGATTGTATCATATTTTAAACATAGGCACAAAATGTTCATATGCCTTGGTCTCCATGCAGAAGCAAATGAATTTGGATGTAATCAAGTTAAAGCAAGATGTTCCCACTCGCTGGAACAGTACTTTTCATATGCTCGAACGCCTACTAAAGCTCAAGGTTCCGCTTTCTGCTTGTGGCTATGAGATATTAGCCAACATAATAATAAAATTAACTTTTGGCAGACTTTAGAGTGCGAGGGACGTCGGGGCGTATGTTCGCTGGACCTCAATCGGTTGAATAGATTCTGCTTGGGTTCTTCTTAATTCTTGAATTGGTGATTCTTGAATTTTTCAGTTGAATCTCCTTTGCCGGGCTGGTTTAGTCGGGTTGAAGGGATAATTTTCAGGTTGTGAGTTGGTTTAATCGGACTGGGGGAAGAATCTACCAGGTTGCGAGTTGCTTTGATCGGGGTCACCAAATGTGGCTATGAAGTATTAGCCAACATAATAATAAAATTAACTTTTGGCAGACTTTTTATTTTGTGTCTGTTATGTTTTTCTTCAAAAACAATTGTGTGCAAATATAAAAATAATAACAAATGAAATACAATTTTATGTTTTTAAATGGAGCTGCTGCCACAGCACGCTACACTGCTACTTTGATTGATATTACCTCCACCGAATCTGGATTCTGAAGGGTGGTTATTTGCTAAAGACGTAGTGGCGTTCTTACATCCGTTTGAAAAGGTAACTGTAATTTTATCCGGGGAAAAGAAATCCATCACTATCATCTGTTATACCTCTCGTATTTGGTCTATTGACAAACCATAAATAGCAAACCTTCAATGACACAGACAGGCAAGCACTTTCAAAGAACTCTTGCTGTTATAATAGAGACGCGACATGGGGTTTATGAGATTAATATAACAGCAACAAAAGCTACTTTTCTTGATCCGCGATATAAAAAATCAGCATTTAGTTCAGAAAACAATGCGCAAATGTGGATAATAAATGAACTAAACGACTACTTATCAACGGAAACCTTGAACTCAACTGACCTTCTACTTCTACTATTGTAGATGATATTTGGGAGTGTTATAGACCGAAAAATATCAGAAACCGTCGAGAAGTCCAATTCCACTACAACTTGTTCAGCAGCCACGATGATAAAACTATATATTGAATTACCATACATAGACAGAAAAAAAGATCCTCTCCAATTCTGGAGTGAAAAAGAAAATGTCTATTTCTGAAGCTAGCTAAAATAGCGCATAAATACCTCTGCATACCAGCGACTTCGGTGCTCTTGACTGTTTCGTAAAGCGGGTATTTTATATAATAATCGAGGAAACTACTAGCACCCAAAAAACTTAATCAAATACTGTTTCTCAACACGCTGTATTAAAAATTATTCTTGTAATTCAACTTTGAATTAGTGTAGATTCGTTAAAATATATTCTTTTCTGAATTATAGTAAGTATTTTATTTATTACCTACGGTACACTTTTAATAATAATGTCCGACCTTACCTAAAAAAATACCATAATGTGAGTCAAAGAACACAATATTGACTAGACATCCATCAATTCTAACCAGTGCGAGATTTGCGAATTTACAGATTTCAGATTTTTGCTACCAACTCGGTTTACGCAAAAACCCGAGTTGGCCCATCGCTAATTTTTATTTATTTATTTATTTGTAATCTTTTGGGATGCAAACAGGACAGGCCCAGTAAACGTGTACATAAAGTGTGAAACCGCGGCATTTGAAAAGGCAAAAACTGTGCATCGGTGGGCATAATTACAATACGGTAAGCAAAATTTATACGACAAATGGACTTGTTCCAGGCGGTCGATGTAGGTATGATATTGACGGTTCCAAACGACAGATGCGTAATTAAGGACAGAGGAAACAAAGGCATAATATAGTGAACGAATACAGGACAGATCAGAAAAAGGACGGGATATGCGACATATAAATCCCAGCATGCGAGAAGCCTTGTTAACGATATAGTCAATATGAGCCGAAAAAGAGAGTTTAGAGTTAAAAATAACTCTAAGGTCTCTCACGCATTCGGATTGTTTGAGGATAATTGAGCCAAGGGAGTAATCAAAGACGACAGGATAGCGTTTGCGAGTAAATGTAATTTTACTGCATTTACCAAGGTTTAAGAACAAGTTACTTCTTAAACAATATTCATGTAACCTGTTTAAATCGTCTTGCAGTTTTACACAGTTGTCGGTAGAACAGATGCGGCTAAATATCTTGCTATCATCGGCGTAAAGTGGAAAATTTGAATGGTGAAAGCATGCATGGATATCGTTAATGTAGAGTAGAAAGAAAAGCGGTCCCAGATGACTACCCTGAGCGACGCCAGAAGAAATATCTCTAAATGCAGAGCGGTAATTANGATGCGGCTAAATATCTTGCTATCATCGGCGTAAAGTAGAAAATTTGAATGGTGAAAGCATGCATGGATATCGTTAATGTAGAGTAGAAAGAAAAGCGGTCCCAGATGACTACCCTGAGCGACGCCAGAAGAAATATCTCTAAATGCAGAACGGTAATTACCTATACTAACAGCCTGCGATCTGCCGGAGATGTAAGATGAAATCCAAGAAATTAAACCAATTGGAATGTCAAAATTAGCAAGTTTAGTTAAAAGGATCCCATGATCAATTCTATCAAACGCCTTGCTATAATCGGTGTATATGGCGTCTACCTGGCAATTGTCATCAAGAGAGCTTAGTAAAAAGTTGGAATAAGAGATTAGATTAGATTCCACTGACCTGCCTTGGTAGAAGCCATGCTGTTCAAGGATTACAGATGATTTAACACTATACATAATAAGATCGTAAACAAGACGCTCAAAGACTTTAGAGGGGATTGAGAGCTATTTGAGGGCTAATGGCAAGTAAAACAAGTTTGGGAACCACGGAAAAGGACGACTAAGGAGATCTGGGAGGATGTGAAATACTTAAAAAGAGGGGCAAATTCCGAGTTTCAAAAATTGATGCCAGAAACAAAGTATCCGCAACTTGTGAATTATTTTTAGTTTTTGGTACAACATTTTTTTGAGTGTTTCTATGCAAATATGACGTTAATAATTGGTCTCGATAGACAAAGCATGTAACAAGATAGTGAACAGATGATAAGTTGCTCTATTCGATCTTCATAGGTAAACTTGGTCGGTTCTAATGCTAGTGTTAGTTCTAGTTTACGTTGTTATTCAGCTTTAGATTGTTGAACTTTTTTATTGATCTAAAATTAGACTAACATTAGAACTAGAAACATTCGGGTTTAGCCGTCTTAAGAGACGCAAGGCTAAACCTGAATGTTTTTAGTTCTACGTCTAGTGTTAGTTTTAGTGTTAGCTCTAAGCTGTTAGTTTTTTTATTACTTACCGCACTAAAAGCAAAACATCCACCACATTTTCCTTGATTTTTAACCGATGTAACACCCCCCAAATCTTTCCAATCGAAATTTTCCGGTAAAAGCACGTTTAAACTTGGAATATAAGTGGTTGGGTTATCTTTGTGTCCTCCGTTTCTTTTCGCCGGTCTTCCATAACCGTTATAAACGTCGTTGTATTCGTGAGTTAACAAATCGGCTGTTGGATTTATTTGTAGTACGAATTTCGAATGTCCGAATGAGTAATCTTGATTGAATTTGGTGATTTTTTTTCGATTCTCAAAGAAGACTTCTTTTCGAAAATTTTCATCTTCAAGAGTTGGATAGGTTTTGTTAAATGACGTCTTGAAGAAAATCCATTCTTTTAATAGGAGGGTATCTTCGATTTTTCTGTCGTGGGTTTCCAAATTTGGATGAGTTCCATGGGTGAGAATTAATTTATGGTTTGTTGTTTGAATGTTGAAGTGTCTTTGTATGGATATTATTGGAGTTGGGGTTAAAAGAAGGGTTAATATGGGAAATAGATGAACCCTAAATTTTTTTTTTTGATTACTACATAGATTTCTTGAACTAAAATTAGAACTAACACTAGAAACTTTCGGGTTTTCAGACCTTCTTCAGATACTAGTTCGAAGTGTTTCTAGTATTAGTTCTAATTTTAGTTCAATTCACTCGTAATTGGTAATTCACTCGTATAAGGCCGTGAAAGCCTTCGTAATTATACTTACATTTCTTGTTATTATTTATGATTTAATTGATTAAATTGAGAAATTATCTTCAAGTGAAGAGAAAATCGTTACTAAAGACTCTCTTGGGTTGTGATGAAACTTATATAAGTAAATTTCTGATGGCATGGAAAAAAATGAGAAGAAGCGAATGAGTTACGTAATTTTTCGAAGCAGTGGGGTTTTCAATCCCATTGACATTCAAATAATAGTCGCAAAACTGGCCGATTTTTTTAATTTATAAACAAGTCTTTAAAAGGTAAACCTATCGATGACTCTTCATTATTTAAAACTATTTCAAAGAGGGAAAAAAATCCCCATTTTTTTTAAATTTCATTATTATTAAAAGTTCATTCGCATTTACATAAAACATTTCTCTTTAATTCTTTTCGTTATTATTCAATGAAAAAAAGAAAAAATAATAAAAAGATTTTGGTGTTAAAGTTCAATGTCGAAATATTTCTTTATAACTTTTAAGCTTATTATAAATTATATGTAGGTGTCAAGAGTCTCTTGAAAAAGAAGGCTGTTTGAACGATAAATAAAAATCCTCTTGTGTCTATTCAATGCCTTTTCTCGAGTATTTAAATAATTCATTAATTATTCATGAAAAAATCCAAAAATAATGTTGATAAAGGAAGATTTTCTTGGCTGGTTGTTAAATTACGTCGTTTGACGTTATTTAAATGATGTCGTTAAGAGTTGTGCAAATCGAGTATATAAAGACTTTATCATTTGTGTTGCGATATGTTTAGTGGCTACAAACAGTAATTTCTTGTTAAATCTTTATTTAGTTTAGTTTCTTATCATCATGATTAATAAATAAAACGCAAATATTTCTGCACTTATCGATGATTATGTTCGATGGTATTTGTTGAGTTTGGTTTTGACCGATTTCGACGAATCCACACGTCATTTCAAGAATTGCAACTTAAAATGAATCATGGAATGCATGCACCACATGTTAACTAAAAATTTTATAAGGTATTCAGTGGTAAAGAGAAAAGTAATTTGCCCAGTCTCTAAGGAGTTGTTTAGCAGTAAATGAGAGCTGGACTGGGCGGAATTGTCTTATTGTACAAATCATGTCCGTCATTTCCTGAAGTTGTAACATTTTACGTTGAAACCGGTAGAATCGTTTAAATAGTAAAAACTTTCGAAGAAGAAAGGTAAAAAAAAATAATTTTATCTTGTTAAAATAAACTTGTGTCTAGAAACTAAATACGTAAAGGTTAAAGATATTTACATTTCAAAATAAATTGCACATATCTTAATACTAAGAAAATGTTGATTAAAAGTTGTTTTAACTCTTACTGGTGCAGTGGTACAAAAAATAAATCACCTAAATTTTCACCCAACTAACGCAATGATCTATAATGTAGACCACCAGTTCAAAATTATTTTCCTACTTTCGCAGCCGCGAAAATTGAAATAGATGAAGATATTTATTCCAGTGAAAATGATTCAGATGACAAGAAACCTTTATCTATACTTCAAGCAAGAATTAAAAAAAATAACTACAGTTATCAATAAAATAACCAGCTCAAATCCGATTTTTCAGGCAAACTTGAAGAACAAATGCATACTAGAAAACATTACAGGAGTACGACGTGCGGATAAATAAATACCTTTTTAGGAATCAATTTACTTATGAGGATCAAACATTGGCCAAGTTATAAAGATTATTGGTCCAGTGCACCAGATCTAGGTGATTCTTACATTAGCTCTCTTATGACGCAAAACAGATTTGGTTGGCTATTAGGACACTTGCATATCAATCATTACTCTGCTATGCCTAATAGTGATTCGGAATATTTTGATCGTCTTTATAAAGTATGGCCGTTGTTAGATCATTTAGAAAAAGCTTTTAAGTATTGTCTTTTATCAAGTGAAGTATTAGCCTTGGACGAGTCGATGATTAAATTTAAAAGTAGAAGTGTGCTAAAACAGTATATGCCTAAGAAACTTCTGCGATAAGTCGGGATGCTGTTTGAAATTCGATATTTATATTGGAAAATCCCAGGATTAACTTATGGGACAGAGCCTAGGTTCTAGGCTTGTGTACAAGTTTACTGAGGGTCTTGAACAAAAAAATCATACAATAGTTTTTGATAATTTTTTTAACAATGTGGAACTAAGTGAATGTGTCTCGAAAGTATTTACCTAATTTTAAAATGGACAAGCAGTTCCCAAAGGGGTGAATTCGACTGGTACACAAACGATACAAAACAATTTGCAGAAAAATGGAAAGGTAGAATACACCTTTTATCAAATTACCACAATGCTGAAGTTTGCACGAAAGGTAGTAGAAGAGGAAAAAAGGGAAATACATTGAGCCAACATGAACAGTGTCGATAAATTCGATCAACTTTTAGCTAACTACTAAATAGATCGTCAAAGCAACAAATGGTGGTATCATATATTTTTCCAATTCGTATATACTACCACCAATTCGTTCCAATCCGTATAACCAGGAGGTCAGAGATAATAATACAATGTTTCTAGGAGTTACACTATCAAAAACTCTATCATGGAGGGACCACGTAAAAAAATTTAAAGGAAAATTGGCAACGGCACTGTATTGTTTAAGAATGTTAGCTAAAAGTTTACCGAAGGAAGAAAGAACGAATGTATATTTTGCGTACTTTCATAGTATGGCGCATACTTACCTGGGGCGCATCTAGTGAAGCGGGTGAGATTTTTAAAATGCAAAAAAAAGCAATTAGCATACTTAAAAAATTGGGTTATAGAGAAAGTTGCAGAGGCTATTTTAGGGAGTTGAAATATACAGACAATACCATCCTGTTTTGTGTTTTCTTGTTTACAATATGTTCATGCGCAAAGAGAGACATTGGAAAGAGATATAGACTCTCACACCTACAGTTCACGATATGGAAACAATTTACTGGTACCCTTATACAGAGTATAAGTATTACACACAGTAACAAAATACTTTCAAATATATTTCAATAAAACTATATAATGCTCTACCATCAAGAACAAAACAATTAGACGAGAAGAAATTTAAAGCGGAAGTGAAGAAACATCTAATAGAAAGTGAAATTTATTCAATTCAAGAATACTATGGAAGTAAGATGCCGGGTATTACCTAGCAGAGGAAGAGGAACTTGAAGACAATTTCATGTATTTCTTTTTTTTTTTTATTTATTGACGAATTGAATGTACCATGTTTTGTATATTTGAGAAATAAACTATTATTATTATTATGCTATATAAAATAATGAATCTGCCTGATAGATTGTAGCCCCAGTTTTAGTATCTAATTCCAAAAGGACTAAGAAATCAGGATAAAAAATACAAATAAAAAAATCAAAGCCGTTTGTACTACAGAGTGTGCCATTAAATTCTGTTGCGCATCAGCCTAAGCGTGGAACAAGTAGATGGTGATTCTAGGTCTAGTGTTAGTTCTTGTTTCGTATCATTAGAATTAACACTAGACTTAGACCTAGAAACATTCGGGTTTTGCACTGCTTCTCTTAAATCTGCTAAACCCGAATGATTCTAGTTCTAGGTCTGTTTGTTGGGTGACATAAATGACTTGTCGGTGGAGATGGATTGTGAATTGGGGACATTGTGTTGCGAGGATCTGGGAATTTTGCAACTTTTAAGGACATTATGGAGCGTGTTCTGGGCACTCTTGCAAACCACAAGCATGTTGTGATCTTGAGTGACTTCAATGTCAGATTTGGTAGCGGAGAGTCAGATGCTTTTGAACTGTCTAATATTTTTTCTTCTTTCGGGTTTTCACCGTCTATCTCAGGACCCACCAGGGGCAAAAACTATCTTGATAATATATTTGTTAATTTTGCTGAGGACAGGTTCAAGGCTGGGGTTGTCGTGAATAATATCTCTGATCACCATGGTCAATTTGTCTCTGCTGCAGTATCACCTCCAATTGGAATTCACTACAGTTCTGGGATGTGCAAGAGGGCCCCATTGTGCCTATTTTTAAGCATGGGGATAAAAACGATTGTTCGAATTATCGGCTTATTAGCATTCTCCCGATACTGTCCAAAATATTTGAGCGCGTAATCTACAAACAAATAATGGCACACGTGGAATTGTACGATGTGCTTTTCGAGAATCAGTTCGGCTGTCGACCTGGTAGAAGTACCGGGGATGCGATTGTTAATTTTATGAATGTCTGTCACAGCACGTACGAGGATCAGGAGTACTGTGCTGCTCTATTTCTTGATTTGTCTCATGCTTTTGATAGTGTGTCGCACCGCATTCTTCTCCTGAAGCAGAAGTCTGCTTTCGCTTTGGTTTAAATAGTGTTGCTCTTATCGAATCATACCTGTCCGATAGGTTTCAAGTGGTTAAATGTGGAGACAAAGTATCCGGAAAACTTCCAACCTCGAGGGATGTCCCCCAGGGATCTATTTTGGGGCCCCTTCTGTTCCTCCTTTGCTTTAATGATTTTCCTGGTTACCTGGGAGAGGGTGTAAAGTGTTTGTTGTACGCTGATGATGCCACATTGCTTGTCTCCGGGTTAAACTACGAGGAGGTAATGTCTTCCTCAAACAAACTGTTGACTTCTGCGAATGTTTGAACAAAGACAAAACGGTTCAGACACTTTTCACCGTTAAACGGGACTGTGTGGGTGATTTTCTCCCTGCTAGATTGCTGGGCATAACGGTGAGCTCCAGAGATCTGAAATTTGATGTGCATGTGGCTGAAATTGGTAAAAAGATCTCAAGAAACATTTTTCTACTACGTAGACTGGTGAGCTCGGTATCTGTCGAGGTGGCCAAAACTGCCTATTATGCGTTGATGCACTTAATGATTGACTATGGTATTATTGCCTGGAGTGGGAGTCCAGCAAGTAATTATGTGTTTGGTTTACAACGCAGAGCTGTAAGAGTGTTGGCTAAACTTAGCTATAGGGAAGATTGTCGCCTTGCATTTGAATCCTTAAATATTCTGACGCTTCCATCATTGTTTATTCTGAAATGTTTGCTGTATATTCATAGTAATGATGAACAGTATAAGACGCACGCCGCCGTGCACAGTTGCTGTACCAGAAACTGTATACTTGTATACTGGTCAGATTTTGTATAATAAGTTACCGCAATCTATTAGGGCACGACAACACAAGCAATTAAAAACTGGTATAAAACATTTCCTGATGACAGGTGCGTTCTACTCAGTCGAGGAGTTTTTAAGGAGTGATATTGTCATTGTATGAATGTATTTTTATTGTATTTTCACCCCGACTTATGCGTCTGTTTTTTATTTTGTTGTATATTTTGTTTAAAATGACGTGTGTAAGCCTTTGGCATAGAGCACTAATAAAGTTATTATTATTATAATTATTATTAATGTTAGTTCTAGTTTTATATCATCAGAACTATCACTAGACCTAGAAACATTCGAGTTTAACCTCTTCTTTTCTTTCTCAAGACGGCTAAACCGGTATGTTGCTGGTTCTAATATTAGTCTAGTTTTAGATCAATGAAAAAAGTTCAACAATCTAAAGCTGAATAACAACGTAAACTAGAACTAACACTAGCATTAGAACCGACCAAGTTCTTCAGACGCACGGCTAAACCTGAATGTTTCTAGTTCTAGTGTACTTCCAGTTTTAATTGTTATTCAGCGCTAAATTATTGTTAATTCTCATTGAACTAAAACTAAACCAAGAACTAGATCGATTCGGGTTTAGACGTTAGTCTTTTAAGATGGCTAAACTTGAATGTTATAGCACCTAGGCAAAGCCACTGTGCACTTAAAGAATATATTTTTGTTTTTGTCAAGATTATTGTTTTTTGTAGAATTTACATACTCGTATGTCCAAAATAAACCAAAACAGAATAGGATGTTTTATTTTTATGCAAATGGAGCGGTGGTACAAAAAGTGGATCTCCAATTTTTTTTTAAACTGTATATGCTTTAATGAAATATCATATGATTTCAACCTATATATAACCTTTTAAAATTGTTTACTTAAAGAATCTAAAAAAAAACAAACTTTGCTCCAGTTGAGCGAAATTTTATGTTAAACACTCGCTCTAGTCAGTAAGAGTTAAACAAAAACATTATTACAAATAAATTATTTATGTTATAGCAATTTTTTTTCTTTTCCAGTTCGATCCAGCAGTTCAACGATTCGTTTCTATGAAAGTAACCACTTACGAACACTTCAAACCGAATTTCAAGAATTCAATAATGTTCCTCGCCCTCGCCGGAATTCCATTTTCGATTTATTCTTATTTCATGTATAAATCGAGAACGGAAAATGAAGCTCGATATCGAAGGGGCGAAATCGCCTACAAAGACCGTCTATTTAAATTTATTTAGAAAAAAAAAGACATTAAAAAAATTGGGAAATCAAGGAAGAACTAGAAGATGCATGATGTTGTTAGTTGGTTTTAAAAGTTTTTTTTTTTCGTGTAAATAAAAGAATTAATCTTATTGATGATTTATTTCTTTTTTACAGGTTGACATTTTGATTTGTTTTTTTAAATCATTAATCAAAATCCCACCTATTCCTGTCCTTTTTATTTTCGGCGATGTTGCGCAAGAAAAAATTATTGAAAGAAAACTAGGATGAAAAGGTATGTTGGTGTAATTATCTTTAATTAAATTCTAATTAACTTTCTCCTTATTTGAGAATTTGAATGCGATAAGATTTATTTCCTTTCAAAATCTAATTATATATTATCTTGATTACATTTAAATCTTTTATTAACGCTCTTCTAACTGTTTATCCCTGGTTATAACTGATTCTTCAAATTTCACCATGTAAGTTGTTCCTTTGTGCCAATGAGCCGATACTTTCGCTGGCTTAAAAAAAAAGATTGTTAAGTATCTTAAAATACAAATATTTGACTTTTTAAATCAAACACTCAATTGCGTGTTAAATTCCAGGATTATCGCAACTACACGATTAATAATAATCTCATTTGTAAAGGCGCGTAGTAAGATGCTTTCTTATTTTACCGAGAATTGATCAAAGAACTCGGAAACCTATGGACTTCCCATGTAGATAAGAAAGCGGCTCAGACTATAGTGAGTTATCCTATAAAGTTATACAAAAGAGACTTTGTTCATGTCTTTAAAGGTCGAATTTATTTATTTTCTGATATCGCAGGAAATAAGAATGAATACGATTTAAATACGACGTAATAACGTTGTTTTTAAGGTCAAGATATTTTTAAAATTACTTTTTCTTGAATCGCATTATATTAAAAAGATATTAGGTATAGTAAAACCTCGATAAAACGAACTAATACGGGAAACCATTACAGCCACAAGTCGGTTTTATGGTATCTAAGAGGACTGCTACATTCCAGGAACAGGTGCACAGCACCAAGGCCCGTTCGTGACGTCAGCGCTGAATAATAATTAAAATTAGAAACAACTTGGGGACTAGCCCTATTTATACCGGGAATTTCATATAACTCGCTAATATTAAAAACGTGCAATTATTTACAAAAAAAATTTTAAGGAATAATAAATATTACTTTTAGTACTATAGCAGTATAATAACGTTCAAAATAGTAGTTAGGATGTACACTGTGTTTATTAATTATCCTACCCGACGTCATCATTGCAAGTATGCAACATAATACGCGATATGCGTATTGCAATACCAATACTGTGATATTGGTTGCATACTTGCAATGATGACGTCGGGTACGATAATTAATTAACACACTGTAGACCAATATCACACTTTATACATATATGAAATTTGACTTTTGTACAATGTTTACATCGTCGATCTGTCTCAGAGAAGCGAATCAAATAACCATTATCATAACGGATTGCCAGCAATGGCTATATGATATGATTTAGCGATTTGGGATTCCAGTTTCATCGTAGTGTGGGTAATGTAATAAAAGTAAGTTTTACGATGATGATTGTTTTATTTTTTATGTTTCGGTGCGACAATTGTTTCGACCAGTATGGTCTTCTTCATAGGCACGACGTCAAAAGAGGTTAGATGTTGAGACGGAGAAATAAAGTTGATTTAGTAATTAGTTTATAAAAACGGTCGCAAAGGGGTTGTGTACATTTTAGTTGATACATTTCCTCGAATCGGAACGTTGTTTACATTAAAATTTGTTAAGGGAATTTGAAAACACGTTGAAAAGTGAGGTTAAACAAGGATCATCGTAAAAAAGAAACAAAACGTTAAGAAAACAAAAGGATGAACTGTTAAATGAAAAGAACAAAAATTAAGAAAAAACTATGAAAAAATATAAATTAAAAGTGAAACGGTACTTTTCCGTGAGGCGCAAAAGTCCGACTGTACGGAGTAAGGTGACTTTCATCAAAAGGTGGGGGTGGGAGTGGGGGTTAAATGAAATTTAGGAAAAATCTATTATTGTTGAAATCGGTTAAATCGTTAAGCAGTAGATCTGATTTATTAGTGTGAATGTAAAATTCTTCCAATAAATCTAATTCTTTGGATTTTTTGATGTTTTTAAGGAGTTTAATATTACAGGAATCTGTTTTATGTTTAGTGGATTTGAGATGTTTATAAAAAGCTGACGAGTCCTTGGTAAGATGTTCCCTAAATCGTGTTTTCAGATTACGGCCGGTTTGTCCTATGTAATACCTATCGCAGTCACCACAGTTTATTCGATACACTCCGCTCGATTCGTCAACTCCAAATTTATGTTTAGTATTATTTATTAATTGTCCAAGTTTTATACCGGAAGTAAAAGCAGGGATTATGTTATATTGTTCAAGGTTATTTTTAAATTTAAATTGAAGTAAGGGTTCAAAGGGGATTGTAATGTAATGTTTATGTAGTTTATGGTGAGGATAGATCATTTTGTTAATTAAGGATTTATGTGCCTTATTGTAAAAATTCTGTATATCGTTCAAATTATAACCGTTATTAAGACCTATTTTAATTATTCTCATAAGTTCCTTTTTATAATTATTATCATCAAGAGGCACATTAAAAAGTCTGTTGAAATAATATCTAAAAGCGGCTTCTTTATGCTGAAGGCAGGTGAAAGATTTTTTTGGGATAATAGAATCGGTAGTGGTTGGTTTGCAATAAATGTTAAAATCGAGTTTATTTTTGTTAAGGTTTTTGGTAATTTGGAGGTCTAAAAAATTTAAAGAGTGATGTTTTTCTATTTCTAAAGTGAATTGGAGGTTGCTGGCATTGTTGAAAAGGTTGAACAGAGCTAAGAGTTTGGCATTGTTGCCTTTGTAGATGATAAGTATATCATCCACATAACGACCATAGAAGGTTATATCGGAGGTGAAAATGTTGTATTTATCAGAGAAAATTTCTTTTTCTAATTGATTGACGAAAATGTCGGCCATGATGCCAGAAATGGGCGAACCCATAGGTAGACCAGTGTTCATACGGTAAAATTGTTTATTAAAAGTGAAGAAATTTTGATCAGTTACTAATTTAAGGGTATCAATGAAGGTGTTAAGTTCGATAAAGCTAATGTTAAGTGTGTTTAGTTTTTTAATAAGGAATTGTTTGATAATGTCTATTGTAGGTTTTATGGGAATGTTAGAATATAAATTTTTTATGTCAAAGGAAATAAGTCTATGTTCTTTAGTGATATGAATATTTTTGAGTTTATCTATTAGTTGAGTTGAGTTTTTAATATTGTATTGAAATTGATTGGAAAAGGTTTTGTGAAGAAATGTTTGTAGTTTTTTAGCTATTATACTGGAGGGGGTATTGACGTTGGAAATGATAGGTCTTATGCTCTGTTCAACCTTATGCAGTTTTATGAGACTTTTTAAAGTGGGGACAAGTGGGTTCATTATGATGGTTTTGAAGGGGTTGATATCGAATATTTTTAGGTTCTCTCTATTGTCTTTAATGTGCCTCTTGAGTGTGTTGTTGTAGTTTATTGTAGGGTTCTTTTTAATTTTAATTATGTTATTGTCTCTAAAAAAGTTCTCAGTCTTTTCTATGTAGTTGAAGTCATTTAAAATAACATATCCTGCACCTTTGTCACCCATGGTGATGATAAGTTTATTTTCTTTAATTTTCTGTCTGAAGGACTTAAGGTTGTGTTGTATCGAGCGGAATGCATAGGAACTGCAGTGATCGGTTTTTAAATTTTTTATAATATTATGGTTGTCGTGGAAAATGGATCTAATGTTAGTGTTATTTGATAATTGTGATTCTATTTTGATAGCAAGTTCGACCGGGCTGGCGCCAGCAGGCAACGAAAATTTATGACTGAGATTTAGGAGTTCTATATCTTTATTGGTGAAAGTGAAGTTGCTGAGGTTTGTATATCTGGGGGCAAAGTTAACGTTATTGAGAGTATCTAAGGATATCTTTTCAAAGGGTTTATTTTTGTTTATTTTCCTTATCATGAAAGTTCCGTTGGTAGCATCAGCTCGGTCGAGGCTATTATGTGTGGTGGTCGTAGTGTTATGTTCTGTTGTGTCCTTGTTCCGTAAGCTGTTGTTGTTGTGATTTTTGTTTTTCTCTTGTTGTGATAAATGGTAATGTTTATTTTTAACCAACCTTGCGAGTTTCTGTTGTTTTCTATTTTTTGAATGTATAGTGTTGTAAGTAGTTTCTTCTTGAAATCTGCGTGTGAGTTCTTCAAATTCGAGAAAATGTAGTGTTGTTGAGAGTTTCCTGTGGATAAATTTCAAGATAGTATCGATTTCTGATAGTTTTTTGTATTGCGTCCTAAGGTTCTTTTTTATAAGTTTTCGTTCAAGATCTTGTTTTTGGTGTTTAAAAATTTTTGGTGTTTTAATTGTAAAAACCTTGGGTGTGACTCCCTGTGCGACTGCCTGGTGTAGAAAGTTGATAGTGTCTCTTGTGTTTTCTCGTTTCATCATGTAACCTCTCATCGTTTGGATCCAAACGGATAACTCCGCATTCATCAATTTAGCGATTTGGGATTCCAGTTTCATCGTAGTGTGGATAATGTAATAAAAGTAAGTTTTACGATGATGATTGTTTTATTTTTTATGTTTCGGTGCGACAATTGTTTCGACCAGTATGGTCTTCTTCATAGGCACGACTAAAAATTATGTAAATTCTAATTTATGAGGTATACATTCAAAAAGCGCAAGGTATATTTACCGTCAAAAGAGGTTAGATGTTGAGACGGAGAAATAAAGTTGATTTAGTAATTAGTTTATAAAAACGGTCGCAAAGGGGTTGTGTACATTTTAGTTGATACATTTCCTCGAATCGGAACGTTGTTTACATTAAAATTTGTTAAGGGAATTTGAAAACACGTTGAAAAGTGAGGTTAAACTGTAAAAAAGGAAGGTTAAATTTCATGTAAAAGTAATCTTGAAACATCTTACCAAGGATCATCGTAAAAAAGAAACAAAACGTTAAGAAAACAAAAGGATGAACTGTTAAATGAAAAGAACAAAAATTAAGAAAAAACTATGAAAAAATATAAATTAAAAGTGAAACGGTACTTTTCCGTGAGGCGCAAAAGTCCGACTGTACGGAGTAAGGTGACTTTCATCAAAAGGTGGGGGTGGGAGTGGGGGTTAAATGAAATTTAGGAAAAATCTATTATTGTTGAAATCGGTTAAATCGTTAAGCAGTAGATCTGATTTATTAGTGTGAATGTAAAATTCTTCCAATAAATCTAATTCTTTGGATTTTTTGATGTTTTTAAGGAGTTTAATATTACAGGAATCTGTTTTATGTTTAGTGGATTTGAGATGTTTATAAAAGGCTGATGAGTCCTTGGTAAGATGCTCCCTGAATCGTGTTTTCAAATTACGGCCGGTTTGTCCTATGTAATACCTATCGCAGTCACCACAATTTATTCGATACACTCCGCTCGATTCATCAATTTCAAATTTATGTTTAGTATTATTTATTAACTGTCCGAGTTTTATACCGGAAGTAAAAGCAGGGGTTATGTTATATTGTTCAAGGTTATTTTTAAATTTAAATTGAAGTAAGGGTTCAAAGGGGATTGTAATGTAATGTTTATGTAGTTTATGGTGAGGATAGATCATTTTGTTAATTAATATGATATGATGTCACAACGTCCCAACACTATATGATGTCAATAACCTGAGTGCTATGTATCGCCGAAATGCCAGTAATGAAGAATAGTTTATATTATTAGGTTTCAATTTCTTCATAAGGAGCCACCCATTAACAACTGAAGCATCTAACAGAAGTGAAAAGATTGGCCAGTACCACTTTGTAAGCCTCATTCGCGTTCTGCATACTGCAACAAGTTCATCTAATTTATCCACCCCACCCATTCCTTTATTATAGCTTGGTGCCATTTCGGGCTGCTCTATGGCTATAAGACCTACTTTCTTTGCACCACCATGTACTGGATACAGCTTTTCTTTGAAAGTTTGTAGCCCTGGTAACCACTCTATCTTTTCATTGAACAAGTAATACTTCATCACTTCCCATAAACCGGTACATCTGCATGATTTATTCCAAAACCTCGTATAGGGGAAAGGACATTTTTCTGTTCGATTTAGGCGTGTTGCACATATTTTCTTCTCCTTCAGATAACAAAGTAAACCAACACTGGTAAAATAATTATCAAAATAGATATTATACCTTTCATTTTCTCCAATTTCATCTTTATTTATTAGGTCTAAAACGACATTTCCTCCAAATCCAAAGTTATTTTCATCTCTTTTAGTACCTTTTCTTGTATATACATCAAAGCATACCGGATGTAATTAGGTAGTAAAAAATCGGGTGAAAAAAGTTAGGTTATGTTGAACTTTCGATGATCTTTTTTCGAAATTGACGCGCTTTTTAGTTCGTTTTTTTTACACGTAACGAATATGACGTGGCAATCAGTAGCCATGTAGTTTTGAGTTGGTTTAAAATTAATTCGAAATAATTTTCTGTCTTTAACTGATGAACTATTGAATAACTTCCAATTTTGAATAATCGTTCCGAAACTAATTGGTGAATAGCTTGAGCAAGTTCAATTTATTCTTCTAGTATAATGAGTGGTGAAAATTACAACTAAAAAATGGGTGGCAAAAAAAATAAGCAGAAAAAACGTGCAGCAGCGAATCAAGCGGCGAATCAACCGGGAAATGTTCGGCCCGGAACATCTAGTCGTCCTACGCAATCACGTTCAGAAGCTAGATTACAAGTTCCATTTTTCCCCATACGGCCAGCACGACCAGTTCAATTTCCATTGCGCAATCAACGATTTATGCAAAGTGTTCCGCGGCTAGTCTTTCCGCAACGTGCCCAACAGCCGCTTATACAATTACAACGTCCGTATCAACAAACTGTGATGGTACAACGACCACAATTCGTTTTACAACCAAGACCACAACCGCCATTTGGTAGTCATCCAAGCCATAATTTTACCTTTGTAAGTCATTTTTCGATCCAATTCATTCAATGAATTTTACTCACTTTCTATATTTTTTATAGCTGCCGAATCCTTATAAGTAATTAAGTATAAGTTAGTCTCGTTATTCCCGAATTATAATTTTTTTTAGTCCTATATCATCAGTATTATCCGGAATGCGTACGATCAGATACTCAGGTAACGGGCCCGGCATTACGTCAAGAACAAGCTCAACGTCTACTTCGCGAATTTGAATGGCAACCAGCTTTGCAAAGTACCTCAATGGCTGTTAGGACGGTATAAGACAAATTATCTAAATGTAATATTCGTGAAATAACGAATGAGGGGGAAGAGCTGCAAGTACAACCGTTCGAAGAGCGACTGCCAGCTTATTTAAGACATTTGTTAGATGTTCTTATATATCCTTCACTTGTAGACAAAGACCAATTTTCAAATCTTAATCTCACAGGTTTACCTTTCATGTATTGCTTCGCGTAATGTTTGCCGTAATGTCTTTTATCTATGGATACGTTTTCTTCCAATCTACCATGTTTTTATAAGTTTTCATTAAGTTTTTCAATAAATGGTCTTAGTTGTGTACAAACTACCTTCATAATTATTGTGAATGTTTATCGTTGAAGTGCATGTTTCGTAGAATTGTTTCAAATCTATTTAGTCGCATACTATCTTGTAAAATTTTTGGCACATCACCTTGGCTTTTCCACACCATTCGTTTGTTCGGGTAATTGACATATCCAGCTACTAACATACCGCTTAACACTACATACAATTCATCAATGGTTATATGGACATTATTGTTTTGGACATTATTGCAAGAACATAATGGAGTAGTATCTTCACTCCAATTGCTCTTCATTTGTCGCTTTTAATAAAACCTTATCGTCAAATAACTTTATAACCTATTTGTCAAGTTTGACTACTGAATTTTCGCTTATTTTAAATAACTACGAAATACGTCTCTTTAGTTATTTAAGTTTTTTATGAAAACGACAAAGTTTTTTAAAAAATAATAAGAGTAAGAAAAGTTTTAGAATTAAATTCCACATGAAATGAAATAGTAATGTACTAAATCCGCCAAAAGGTTAAAAAAATGCCAAAATTTAGGGTACCATCACCCTTAATCAACCCTTTAAAATGCCTCAATTGAGTTCAATTTGCTACCAATTAATACCCTTGGTACACTCATAACATATACCAAATTTGGTTTTTCTAGCTTAATGTATTACGAAGATATTGAATTTTTTAAAAATTTAAGAGCCAATTTTGAAGGCCTATAACTTCTCAGGGGTACAACTTAGTATAGACATAAATTGCGTTAAATCATCTTAATTTATTGTCCTCTACATGTCCCTGCTCTGTGTCGATTCTTATGTGAATCACCCTGTATACCGGGTGATTCAGACCACCCCACAGAAGCGAATTAGTTAAAAATCTTGGCCAAAAAGATATTTTTGTCAATTTTTTTACTTCAAAATTGGTGGAAATTAAAAAATATCTATACAATTAACAAGGATGAAGTATTTTATGATATACTGCGATTTTACTTAATTGTATCTACCTATATTTTATATACAGGTGGTCCGTTACTAAGGGACACAGAAGAACAGTGAATTCCTTACATTAAATTGTTACGATTTAACCCAATTTATGTTTATTTATGACCCCAATTTTTAATAATAACGACATACAGATGATTAAAGTTAATACTTTATTTTCGCTTTTCTTTAATAATTTCGTTTTCTCTTGCATTATGACCATGAAAATTGGTACATTACCATTTTTTAAGACGATAAATAATAATTTGGTATTAGTTTTGATTTATCTTTCAGATGGCGCTGCCTGCCTTAAAAACTCCTTTAAAGTAGACATCTTTTTCATCGTTAAAATTTTTACAACTCGCACAACTTAAAACAGTTTCTCAGACATTTTTACATAAATTTGGTATACCTACTAATCTTCTCTAAAGTTCTCCGTTTCCAGGATAATCACTGTTTAAGGGTACTTTGCAAAATTTAATTATGCTCAGTAAACATTAGTTGGCGTTAAAAATGACTTTATTTGGTCATCACCGTCAATTGGCATTAATATTAGAGTATTGGCATTAATACTAGAGTATTGGCATTATACTAGAGTGTTGGCATTAATACGAGAGTATTAATGCTAATTGGCAGTGAAAATTACTAAAGAAAAATGAAAATAGAGTATAAACATTACCCATCTGTATCTTCGTTATTATTAACAAATGGATTAAGATAAATTGGGTTAAATCGTAATAATTTAATGTAAGGAATTCACTGTTGCTCTGTGTCCCATTTGTAACGGACCATCCCCTGTATAAGACTTATGGTTAATAATTTTCAAGGAAAAAATCTTGCAAATAATAAATTGAGTTGACGCAATAATATCTTTTAATATTTTACCGAAAACTCAGTGTGTCAATTCAATTTTTAATTTCTTTTTAGAAAATTATTAACTTTAGAACGCTAACATCTCATACTAAAATTAGTGTTTCAGAAAATAAATTGTAATTTTGGTTAGAAACCTTTTTGTGGACATCCTATATTATCAATTTAATGGTGAAAGAGTTCCCCTTTATGTTTATTTTCTAACTGCAAATGCCCTCCCCAAACCAACAGCACATAGCAGAATTATGATTTTTTTTCGAACTTTATACACACTAATAAAAATTTATTTTAAGGTAAAACCGCAAAATACCGTAAGAATTTCTAGCAAAATCTATAATTGTAGGCCTTATACTACAACATGTATACAATATTACTTTTGAACAATGTTAAACAATTTATTTTTTGCCCATCTAAATATCGTAAAATAAATTATTTATTTACAATATTACAAAAAAACTAATAACCGAATTGTTACTTTCTGTATATTATACAATTCTACTTATCACCAGCAATAGGTTCTATGATAAATTTTCGAAATATATAAAAGAAGTGTAAAGGAAAAAATCAATTAAAAATCACACTTTTTACCGACGTTTTATCTAGGTGAAAACTGTTTACTAAACAATCAATTGACAACTAAAATATTTTGGTGGCGATTGTTACAATAATTATAAAGAAGGTGTTTCAAGGCACCTTGGGATTTACTTAATCAAATAGCAATAATTGCATTTTCAATCTTATTCCTTAAATTTTTGCAATTTTGGCCAAGATTTTTAAAAAATTCGCCTGTGTGCACCCGTACTAGGGATTTTTCTCAAAAACGTGATTACCTAAGAAGTTGCAATAAAAAATATGATAATAAAATCGTACATGAAGAATCCAATGCACCAGTTTTTATCACGCTGGTAACACCGGAAGTTGGTGGTAATGACATCAACTTAAAAGTTTTCCAAGTTGTCATATGAATTAAGTTTTATCGTAGAATAGATATTTTAAAAATAAACAACTTTTGCTTTAGCTCTTTTTTGATTTAATGCAACGTTTAAGTGCTATTGATGATTACAGTAAAGATAACTAAACATGTATTATAAAAAATGCTGAAGTAATTAATTAAATAACAATCTGAACAAACAATAACAATGATTTTTTAAACACCTATTTAAAATTTTAAGAACAAAAACGAACGTAAAAAAACTTTAACGTTCAAAAACGTTGCCATCAACAGCCACACACCTTCTAGCTCGCCCCCCTACAGCATTAACCACGACGAATTTATTATTATCATATTTTTTATTGCAACTTCTTAGGTAATCGCGTTTTTGGGAAAAATCCCTGGTACGGGTGGTCTGAATCACCCGGTATAAACCCAATTCAACATGTATTCTAGTGGTTCGGTTCTTAGCTGAATAATTTCAAAATATCCCCAAGAGATGGCGCCACATGCGTTCAATTTTTAATAAGAGATTTTTTTAGAGAGTTGCATTTCTACGAAGCTATTTTCTATGGGAACACTGCGTTCCCCGTATTGATCCATTATATCGAGGTTTTACTTGAATTGGATTATATAAAAATATTCTTTGACATGACATTTTAATACCAACCTATAAAAAAAAAATTAACTTACAAATCCTGTTCCTGTTAAAACAGCCTCAATTATTCCTGCGATAAAAACCGCACAATTTAAACTTCCTTTATCCCTTGGAACTGAAATAAATCTATTTACTAAAGGTTCTTTTTCCATTAAATAATAAGTGCTTTCATCGTCGTTGGAATGTTCGAGTTTATCGGCTTCTCTACCAAATAAAGCCTAAAAATGAATTAAATTTTGATTCATTACCTTTAAATTAATGTGTGTTTACCTTCCAAAATGTCGATTTAATAAATAATAATATATTTAACAATTTTATTTCTCGTTTACTATTTCGTTCACGGACGAAATATAAATCGATTAATTTTGATCCTACGGTTTTTCCTAAATCGTGTAATCTAAAACGTCGTTAATTTAGGATCATTTACTGTGTTATTAATATATTAATTACCTGGTTTGTAGTTCCGGAACTGTATGTGATTTATTTTGACAATATTGAACTACTTCTGAGAATAAAAGGGCGAAACAACTAAGTGAAATTTCACCTTTCCCTCTACTTAGGGGTTTATCCAAAATACTCGAACGATTTCTGTTTGTTAAACTCATCTTTCCTTCTTTCTTTTTCTAGTTAAGAAGGTGACGTTATTGACGATTTTAATTTCTAGGTTATGTTGTAATTTCACCTGAATCGAAGGATTCTCATTTTAATTTATCCTAAAAATTTTAATAATAATGATCGTTTCATTAACATAGTTTTATATGTAAAAAGAATTTTTTTATTGAAATTACCTTACCATAGGATACAATTTAATAATGATTCAAGATATGTTTTTAGTCGAGAATTCAACCAAAATTACAGATTTCTATCGGTAGCACAAGTATCAAAAATTCATGATTTTTGAGGTTATTTAAACTTCAAACGGTAGTTTTAAGTTTGAGTTTTTGGTATTCTTTGTTGTTTAAGTGGTTTTTTCGTGTACCATTCATAGTTTCTTTGATTTCGACGTTCAGGTTTGTGTTATTTACATGTTAATTTATAGTATATGACGTTTTTTCCAAATTTTTGTAAAGAAAGACCTAGTCCAGTTTACTGGACGTTGGTGCTGGACTTTGAATTTCTAAGTTCTTTTTCTGTTTCTAAATACAACGTAATGTGCTATACAAACCAAAATGAATACTACGGCTACCCCAAAATATTGCAAAACATAATTAATGTACGCTAATTCTGAAGCATGAATCTATGCATAAACCAGGGTTTTCTGAACATATCTAACTTACAATTAAAACTAGAACTAACACTAGACCTAGAACTAGAAACTTTCGGGATTAGCCGTGCGTCTGAAGACTAGTTCTAGGTCTAGTGTTAGTTCTAGAAGCGCCCTCCTTAGCGTTTACGTTACCCCGGACAAAAAGACAAACTACTGCCCTTTAAACATATAATGCCTTCTAAAAAGTCTGCATCAAATAGTCAAACATATAAAACTATGCTATCAAAAATATATAGCTAATTTATTGATACAAACTTTTTGGCTGACACTGTACTGATATTTTTCTTTGGGATCTTCAATAGGTTCATCTCGAGATTCGTATGAGAAAATATTTTTTTTTCTTTGTATGCGGTGTCGTGGAATTGTTGATTCAAAATTAGCTTCAATGTCAATTTCGGCAGCCAGTTCTCTTGCATGAATTATACTTTCATTGAAAGACTTGTCCGATCGAAGATCCTTAAAGAATTTTATGCAATTTTATAAGAGGTCAAGTGCAGATGCTAGATCGAAATATTTTGTTTGCATTAGTTTGCTTATAGGATTAATGCAGTTTAAGATTTTGTACCAAGTTTTTGTTGCGTCGTATTCTTCTCCTATTTGAAATCGTAAAGTCTTTAAAGCCTCTATCCTACTCTTCCATCTAGTGGCACTCAATGGTTTCAAAGTTAATCCTTTAATATGTTTCAAAAGTATTGCCCACCGAAACGTAGATGATGAAAGAAATAAATATAGTTTCTGGATTATATTGAAGAAATTAGCGGCTACCGAAGAAGCTTTTGCCATATCATTAACCACTAGATTCGGAGAATGACTGCTACACCGAACGTAAAACGCTCGTGAATTTAAATTCTTAATTCTAGATTGCACTTCAGCTTTATCGCCTTTCATATTAGATCCATTATCATATCCCTGTCCTCTAACATCTTGCAAGTTTAAACCCATATTAGTAAGTTCTTCAATTATAATTTCAGTCATTTGTTATTTCAGCGTCGTTGAAATCAGATTTATTGACTGTAACATATCGGAATATAAGGTCATTTGCTCCACCTTACTTACGTCAGGAGTGCAATCTAAAATTATAGAATAGTATTTGGCCTTTTTTATTTCATTATAATATGAGACTTCACATTTTGATGCAACAAGTCTATTATCTCGTTTTGTACATTTTTACCGAGATAGTGGGCTTTCGTCTCGTCTTTTTTCAGCACCCTTCGCACGTGTTCTTCCATAATGGGACCAAATTCAGACAGTAGTTCAACTATTTTTAGGAAGTTACCATTATTATGGTCAAATAGTTTATCGCTTGTACCTTGAAAAGCCAGACAACTTTTACCAAGCATTTGAATGATTCCTACGATTCTTAGAAGCACTTCATACCAATGGTTTGTGTCAGCGTTAATAATTTTTTGAGCATTTGCATCTATAGTTTTACAACACTTAGAACTAGTCTTTGACTTAGTTCTAGCCATGATTTGTGAGCTTCAATATAATTTTTTGAAACTTCGTGTTCTTTTAACGTTTCAACGATATACTTCCAACTTTTAAAGCCGTCTTTTGAAAGAGAACTGATCACACAGCCAAAAATTTTACAGCAAAAGCAATAAATACAGTTTTTTGAAATAGAGTATACTAGCCAGTCTCTTACAACATGCTCTCCATTTATAGAAAATCGACAAGCAAAAATTTCGATTAAATTCGATTATCAAAATTTTATCACATTCTGAGTCAAAATGCCGCCCTTTAGAGCTGCCGCCCCGGACAAATGTCCGGATGGTCCGCCCCTAGAGCGAGCCCTGGTTCTAGTTTTACACTAGCACTGTTACTATGTAGAACTAACTCTATACCTCGAAATAAAATCATTTGGGTTTAGCTGCACTTCTTTAAAGACGGCTAAATCCGAATGATTCTACGTATAGTGTTAATTCTAGTTTTACATTTGCATTGTCACTAGAACTAACGTTAGACCTAGAACTAGAAACATTTGGGTTTAGCCGTACGTCTATTAAGACGGCTAAAGCCGAATGATTCTAGTTCTTGGTCTAGCGCTTGTTGTGGTACCACCCGTCTACGTAGTACTACTCACGTAGTATTTATCTTTATAGTAATAGGAATATAATAAGTTTACAATATAATAATGTAGGTATCAAAAGTAATGATTCTGTAACTAAAAACCAAACAACCACCAGAGACATGTGTGAATAATAAATATATAAGGGGACGGAACCAGATGGGAACAACCCCTAATTCTCCTTGTCTCTGCGTATATCAAGAAACAGATGGAAACATACTTAGTTATATGATATTTTGCGTGGGAAGCACTGCTGTAAAAACAGAGTTCACTACGAACAGGGGGGTTAAGCCGAAAAGGCACTTCACTAAGAGCAGTCGAAAAGTCAAGTCACATTAAGATAGTCGTCTCTATTAGATCGAGTTGATCAGTTAGTTTTAGAACAAATTGTTACCGGTCGTCATCGTCGTCTCTTAAATAAAATTTAACTAAAATTAAGAACAGAAGAAAGTTGTTTAATTTAATAAATTGCCCTTCACAACGAAGAAATAAATATATTCGTAAATATCGACGTTACATCGTAAGAATATACAACATCGGTGGCGGCGGTACACAACACGCTGCATAACACTTAAAACTAGAACTAACACAAGACGTCTGAAGACGCACGGCTAACCCGAAACTTTCTAGTTCTAGGTCTAGTATTAATTCTAGTTTTACACTAGCACTGTTATTATGTAGAACTAACACTATACCTAAAAATAGAATCATTTGGGTTTAGCCGCACGTCTTTATTAGGGTGTCCAGTCCTGGTATTTAGTCCCGGTTCCGTCCCGGAATTTCTTGAAAAAAATGTAGGTCCGGGACCACTAAGAAGTCCCGGGATTTTAAAAGGCCCGAAATTAAGAAAAAAATTAAAATATTGGAACGACTACAACTAACAGGTTACAACCTGTTAAAAATATCGATCTCGAGACTCCGACTAGCTAACGGGTGATCTAACAAAACGGTTCTCCGAGTTCGTAAAAAACCTAAATTGATAGGGGAATCACCGGCTAAAACGAGTTATGACTTGCAATATTTGTAGAATCGGTGTTATATACCGGCGGTGCTCCAATTAATAGGTATAGTCGTGTGACACTGTGAGTTGTGGTTAGCCTGTGCTCTGGAAGTTTTTGTGTGCGCGTCAAATAATTTGAGAAAAATTAACAAAGCAAAATTAAACAAAAATACAGGTAATTTGAAAGTATTATAAATAAAAGCTTTTCGTTCATTGTGATGAAATTTGACACCCAAAAAAAACGCTGATCCAACGTCAATATGGCGACATTTTTATATATCAACAGATAAACAAGCGGCGAAATGTAAGATTTGTCCTAACAAAATTATTATGTGTAAAGGCGGCTCAACAAAAGGATTACACAAGCATTTCGCTGAAGTACATAAAAAGAAAGGGGTGGTTCTACAATCAACTCGTCCGTTATCGGCAGCGCTAGAAAAAAATTTGGCTGTTGAAGTCGCAGTTGTTGATAACAACGAAGAGGAAAATGAACTACAGTCTAGCTTATCTTCTACTTCGTCTTCCCAATTTTCTCAAATGATGCAAAAAAAGAGAAAACTGACTGATTATTTCCTTATTAATTCCAATGAAGAAGATAATTGTTTATATGCAGTTATCGCTCGAATGGCAGCATTAGATGGACTTCCATTTAGAGTTATTATTACATCTAAAGATTTAAGAAAACGTTTAGAGGCAAGGGGATTTAAGAATTTACCAACTTCTACATCAACAATTCAAAATAGAATTTTAATGTATTGCGAAAAGGTATTTGACAATTTCACTGATGAAGTACAATGTCTACGAGACAAAGGTCGTCGTTTAACATTCGATGAATGGACGTCCATAGCCAACAAACGATATATAAATATAAATATTCACGGATGATCTTTGCCTGCAGAGAAATGTATTAATCTTAATGAAAAAAAACTCGTGCGATTTAAGTTAAGCTTAAAAAATGACATTGTTTCGATCACAACAGATGGAGCCAGTGTAATGGTGAAAGTAGGAAAATTAATACAACCACTGCAGCAATTATGCTTTGCTCATGGCATTCAACTTGCAGTGATTGCCGTCATTTATTCTAAAAATGAACAAAAATTATCAAACCGAAACACTGAAACTGATGGCAACACGAGTAGTAGCGAGGACGACTATAATAGTGACAATAATGAAGACGGTGGTTTTGAGTTAATTGAAGACGATGACCATATGCTTTCATTTAAATAATTACGGGAACATTCACTAACTGGTAACCGAAATACGGAAGATTGTCAAATTATTTCGTCGCTCTCCTTTAAAAAACAGTGTTCTGCAGAACTATGTAAAAGGGAAACATTGCAAGGAGTTAAAACTTATTTTAGATTGCAAAACACGATGGAACATTGATGTATCCATGCCGATGAATCTGACTGACCATGACTTTGTAGTTCTACAGGGAGTTGTAAAGTGTCTTGAAACTATTAAACTTACTGTGTTGGCGGTATGTAGACATGATGCCAATCTTTACACGACTGATGCCAGCTTCAGGTT